AAATGCAGAAGGCTGTACATCCAGTTGAGGGCAGGCACTGTCCTTACCTCCAGGACTTCTTCTTTCTCTTGATTTTCAGGATACTGAGAGCAGTTTATATGCTCTTGGCAGGAGACAAGAACAATTCTCTCTAGAAAATCTGACCAGTCCCAGAAAAATGACCTAAATATAATAATATTAGGAATTCCCCAATGCAAAGGCCCATCCATCCATACTACCCTATGAAGCTAATGGCTGAAAAGCCCCACCCAGTCCATGGAATTTATAATCCAATTCAGCTTTTTAGTGCTCTACTGATAAATATCAGTAATAAATATCCAAAGCTTGCTAGAAATTTGAGAAAAACTTACGACATTTATTCTAATATATAAGAGAAGAATAAAAAAATTTGGAGACTATACAAAAAGAAAAAACAACTTCTAAAATAGTATAATTACCTCAAGAGAAATACAAAATCAACAGAGCTATAAAAAAGAATATTCAGAGAAAAAAACTTCTTATAAATGAAAAACAACATAGCAGAAATGAAAAACCAATAAAAAGGTTGGACAACCCAAAACTAATATAACACTGTATGTTAGCTACACTGGAATTAAGAAAAAGGGGCTGGGGCTTGATGATAAATGTGAGGAAATTTCTCAGAAAGTAGAATAAAAGTCAAAAGATTTAAAAATTTTTTAAAAGGATCAGGAAAGGAGATCCAAATACTAAAGATAAGGTTAAAAATGGGGACAAAAGGGATTCCAATAAATAATTTAAGAAAAATTCCCCAAATCTAAAGACATTAGACTTACCATGATGAAAAAAAGGGCATCATACCCAAAACAACATCATGAACTTTCAAAAAACTGGGAAAAGGAGGAGATTCTACAAAAGATTCTATAAGCAGATATTGACAGACACTGGAAGACAACAGTGAAAAGGCTTCAGAATTCTGGGGAAATAGGATTTCCAACCTAGAATTCTATATCCAGCCAAACTATCATGAAGATTTTCATCATATATTCAAGGTCTCAAAAAAGTTACCTGCCCATATACTCTTTTCCCAGCAAGTTACTGGAGGTTGAGTTCTATCAGGTGAGGGAGCAAATCAAGAGAGAGGATGTTATGGGATACAAAAGCAGTGATCCAATACTAAAGAAGGGCAGAGAAAAATTCTAGGATGACGATGATGATGGGAGACCCTAAGATGACAGGTGTGAGGCTGACCTAGAGGGCACCCAGTCTGGATGAGAGGAGGCTGAGAAGCTGTGGGTGAGATTGTTCAAGAAGATAAACTTGATGAAATATCTATGTGTTTGAATATAATACAAGGACATTTTGCATAACTTGGATGGAGGAAGTTTTGGGATGAGAGAAAACTACATAGAATACATAAAAATACAAAAAGGAAAAGGATGTTAGTATGTTACTGGCTTACCACTGAAGGCATTTACATTAAGTATAATAACTTGAACAATGAATAATGATGTAACCAAAGCAAACATACTGGGAGGAAAGGCTAGGGCAGTGTGCTTCTATGGTAGAGGCGATGAAAGAGAGCTAAATTCTCATCTTCCGCTTTAAGCAAGACAACAGAGACTAAGCAGAATAAAAAGTAACAATATAAACCTATTTATATTGACATTGAGGTAAATACCAAAAGAATCAGATCAGGTAAAAGAGTTGAAAGTGAATGGTTTTAGGAAGCAGGCAAAGGGGGAGGGAGGGTATAGAGAGGACTGTTCATTTTCACAACCAGCTCTGTGGAACCACTTGACTCTTTATGTATATAGCTTAAAAATATAAAACGGTAATCTGACACGTTTGCTACTATAACTTCATCAATAACATTGAATAAATATTTCCCAAGGGCCTATTTGGTACCAACTGCTGGGCTAGAACCTGCAGTCACCACCCGGGGGCAGCCCAATGGCTACTGGCTGCAGCACACAGAGCTCCTTATGCCATCCAAGGGCTCTGGGGGTTAGCTGAGGGCAGGGCACAAAGAGTAGGATGGAAGACAACTCCATGGCCATCTGATATTCGGTGCATACTCAGGTGAGGCCTGGTTCTAGGAGCCCCTACCATTTAGCTAGAGAAATTTAATAAGCATTTTGAAAGGGAAAACTTTGGAAAAAAGAAAGGGATGGGGATAAATATTTGTAAGTCATTCTAATAGGAAAAGAAGCAGGGGCAGCAGGAATTGATTAGACATCCAGGAAGAGAATTTAAAAAGAAAAGGAAGCTAAAAAGAAGTTTTAAAGGAATTTCACTTTTGTGCTCTGGCCAGGATACTTTGTGATCTTCAAGGAAGAGATGGCTTTCTTGATAGCCCTTGTGGGTGAGTTAAGAGGAAGTTTCTCTGATTCCTTCCTTATCATTCTCTGGTCACTTACGATTTTCTAAACGTCAAGTCTAACAATCATTTCTCAGTATTCATCCATTGCACACATTTGCAACATTTGACCTTGCCAACAATCTCTTTAATTCCAACATGATTCTTGTTCTTCCCTTGATTTTTGTGACATGCCCCCCCCGCCTCATGCCTCCATTCTTCCCTGGTTCTCCTCCTGCCTCTGTGATGAGTCCTTCTGTGGGCCTTCTTCGGCAGGTAGTGGTCAGCTAGTTGTCTTCTCAAGGATGTGTGCCTGGCTGAAGAGTTTGTAGGCAGATGGGACAGAATATTCAAGAAAAATGTGACAGAAATAACGAGAACAACCACATCACTATGAACAATGACTACAGCAACACAGCCAGTGGGACACCAGTCATGGTTATGATGCTGATGAAGACAATGTGACCAGCTGCAATGTTAACTGTGTCTTAAGAGTTTATGGGCTAGACAGGAAAAAGGTATTTTGGCATCCTGCTGGCTTTTATTAGCCAAATTACCAACAGGTAACCCAAAGACCCAGATCCTGTTTATAAAATATTTATTGTTACATATTTATAACCTGGCCAGGTACAAAAAGGCTTTCCATGATACATATGATAAAACTGAATTCAAAATGCTAGTGAACAGAATATAAGATGACATCAACACACCACAAACACGACTCTAATATATAAGAATATACATTCAATGCAAAGCTCAAATCATTAAAATAGCTATTACAATTGAGATATGTATATCAAATATTCAATATCTTTTATATTTTCAGAGCATTTTTATATACCCATATGAAAACCTTTATGAGAGTACTGCTAAAAAATGTTTAATGACAAAAATGTATGCTAGTTTCAGTTTATAGTTAAGCACAATTATTTTAAGCATATATTAAGTAAAATACAGCTATGGGGCGCCTGGGCGGCTCAGTTGGTTAAGCATCTGCCTTCGGCTCAGGTCATGATCGCAGGGTCCTGGGATGGAGCCCCACATCGGGCTCCCTGCACAGCAGGGAACATGCTTCTCCCTCTGCCTCTGCCCCTCCCCCCTCAACCCCGCTCGTGCTCTTTTTCTCGCTCTCAAATAAGTAAAAAAATTTTAAAAAAGAGTTAAAAAAAAAAAGTAAAATACAGCTAACTTTACTTTAGAAACCCAATCTTGGTTTAAAAGCTTGTTGAAATTTATGATAACATTTCAGAAAACACATAACACTCTTATACAACTAATAGAATATCCTACAGCACATGATCAAAACAGAAAGACATCACCATCTTGTATCAAATCCAGAATTAAAAGTGTAACCTTTTCTATTTATCCCCTCTAAGAAAGCTACATGCAAGGATTGCAGAGACAGGAGAGTGCCTCAGAGAGCTTGCCTACAGCAACAAGGCTTCTCTTGCAATGTCAGAATCATTTCTAGAGCATGCCACTTTCATGGCATACTGATATAGAAAGTCTTAGTAAAACCAAATTATTCCAATACATTTTTAGCACTGAAGGTGAGGCTGACTTTGCTAACTGATGTGAAGCCAGGCTGACCACATTAATGTGAATGTGCTAAACCCAATGCTACCTGTGTGTGAAAGCACCTTTGAGTATCTTCTTTTTCTTGGCTATGTTTTTATAAATTTGCTCCAAGTCCTGGTTTATCTCTCAACTTTCCTCTGACTTACATTATATTCAGCTTTCTCCTCCTAACCACTGAATTCTTCTTCTGTACCTCAAGAAGGTTTTGAAATCCCCCTTTCTTCCAAGAAGTCCCCCTTGACTTGTTGGAATAGTAGTCCTTGAACCACCTCATTTGGGTATGGGGTTTTTATGTGCCTACCCTTCATTCTCTGAGCCATAAAAGCACTTACTTGTCCCTATTTTGCTTAAGTTTTATTATCCTCTGGCACTTATGTGCTTCCCTGAGCTGTGTCACTGATGGAGGGACAGCAGAAAGCATGTTTAGCTGGGAGGAAGAACTGGCCATGGTTAATTTAAGGAGTGATGAAGCCAGACAACTCTGAGTGACACATCCTGCCCTGGTGGTCTTAAAGTCACTAACCTCTCTCTTAAGCCCTGATTTACTCATCTGTGAAATGGACATAATACCTTCTAGCTTATAAGGTTGTCAAAAGGCTACTGGGAGGCTAAGTGAGATAATTTGGTATAATGCCTAGCATACGGTAAGCCCCCAACAAGTAGAGAATTAGCAGAACAGCTAATAAATGCTTTCTGACAATGATTAGACAAATATAAGGTAAACCAGAATTTATTTTGCACATTAAAACTAGACATAAAAAGTTATATAGCTAATGAAAATGTAGAAATAAAGACACTTTGGGAAAAAATGACAATTATATCTTGTATTAAAGACACATTCTTTATTGGACAAATGCTCCGTAGTGGATATTTAAAATAACACAAACATTCAGGACTGTAGATTTGTAGTTTAGTTCATCATGTTAGATACAATAGTTAACATGCTTAGGAGAGACAATATTCTGTACATTCCTTAATAAGCTTTATCAAGCACATTTGTAAAAATTAAAATTTCACTTTTAGTTATTATGATTTTCTCCATACACCAAATGAACAAACATAACAACACAAGTCAATTTTAAATAATGGATACTGTATTTGGCTCTACTGTACTCTAAAATTACTTACATTAGTAAAGATATTAATTTCAGCCTTAAAAAGGGGGATTCTGTGAGATCCATAGAAACATTTGCGAACCCTGACACAGAGCCAATGGATAAGAGAATTACTCAGTTTTCTGAGTGAATGGTATGATAAAGTTAGGTAGGGGAAGCTGCCTTTGAAAGAGATCACGGTGCCCTGCACCTATTCTGGTAAACGAAGTCCTCAGCAAATGTAACACAAATGGCATGAGGTTCATCAGCAGTTCCTACTGCTTGGTAACAGAGGAGTGTCTTTGAATCTTCAGAAAACACAGACTCTGCCAGAGCAATGTTCTTTTAGCTACTGAGCAAGATACTTCAAAGGGTAAGGAGTGGTGGAGAGAAATGACATTGCCAGAGGGGCAGGAGTGAACAGGGGTGGGCAGGAGGGCCAGCTATCACCAGAGGGCCTGGCTTGTTCTTTGGGAGGCAGTGAAGACTGTAGCTATTTCCACCAGCATCTACTGGGGTATCCAAGCTCCACCACAGTAACAAATCGATCCTCAGAGACAGGCAATGCATTGAAACGAAAAGACACATTAAATTAAGAGTGAGTGGGACAAAGAAAAGCTACACCGAAAGGTGCTTAATGTTTATTAGCTTGGTGAGAAATAAAAAGTAGGCAGCAAGACACAAAGTTAACTCATGGACATCTGGACCACAAATAATGTACCCCAATTTTCTTAGGCAAACTGCAAAATTTTCTAAAACTCCACTTGAATTAGGAGAGTTAGAGGTATTTGTATGAAATAAAGTTTTTAAGTACAGATGTACAATTTAGGACACTTAAAGTTCCAAAGATGTCTAAATATAACTTTCCAAATCTTCTTAACAATATCTCCATGTGTCTTTGAAGCTCCAGACACTAAAAGTCTAATATAAGAGACACTGAAAAATGCCTTAGTTACATCACATGCCATCTCAAAGCACTCCCTGTAAAAGCAGCTCTTCCTGCAGCATTCATCATGCAACATCTAGCTAAAAATATATATATTTAAAGGTATCTTAAAGACATATAGCGCCTAATGTAATAAAAATGACAAAAGTTATTGCTTGGGCATTTCAAGCAAGGTCATTTTGGTTGAAATAAAACATATACAAACATCTTTCTAAGCTACCAATTTGGGGAAAAGAGAGAGAGTGCAAACCTAACGCTTTATATGCCAATACCTTTAGGGCACTTAATAAAGTGGTAACAATTTATTACTTGTTATCTTTAGAATGCCCTTTTTTTGGTGGTATTTATGTCTTCATCATAGTTGAAGAAGCAGCTTGGAAACAGGTGAGCTGCAAGTGCATGCTACTCTTGAACTTGTTCAGCAGCTCTTCCAGTAACCTGAAGAGAGGAGAAGCTATTTTACAACCTGGCAGAATGAAGGTTGCCTAGCAACATAGAACATGCAGAGGAGCCAACTGTCCAGCTTTAGCTTCTGCTTATTGAAGTTATTTACTTGTTGATTCTTAACTCAATAACAGAAGTAAATTAGTCAAAGAAGCTAGTCAAAAGGAATATATATTTATATACATATTTATATTTATATATAAAAATCTCCCTCCTGTCTCCTTTCCCTAGATTAATTAGATTTCTTCCTAAACACATTAATGCTTGGGCCTGTACTTTTTTTAATTCACTTTTTAAAAATTTCAAAAATACTAAAATGTACTCATTTTGGCATACAGTTCTATGAACACTGATAAACACACATTAGCAACCTAATAACCCCCATAATCAGGACACAGAATAGTTCCATTACCCTCCAAGTCCTCTTGTGTTGCCCCTTTGTAGCCACCTTTCTCATTACCCTCACCCCTTGGCAACTACTGGTCTACTGTCTGGCTCCTCCTATTTTGCATTTTTGTTTTGAACACGTATTGGAGAGTGGTAAACTGAAGTGGTGAATTAAGCACCAGAACACTCAAGGTCAGTTCTAACTCAGTGGGCAAATTATACTAGTATTTGATAACTCAATTGCTTTCTTTAACTGGTTTGATGTATAATCTTAGGGCCAGAAAGGCTCTTAGAGTTCATCTGGTTCAGATGAAGCAACCAAGAAGTGGGCTTAATGATACTCGGGTCAAAAGATTATTTTATGGGTTTAACAATGCCCAAAATTAGAACACCATCTCCATGTGACATTTTCCCAGCCTCACGTGTTCTCTCTGCCCTCTGAGTTTCCATAACACTCATCTATGCAAAATCACAGAGCCTATACCACGGTTTTCATGTCTATAGACTGAGCAGCCAAATGCAAAGGCAGGTGGACTTCAGTTATGGTTAGTAAAGGAGCAAAGACCTACAATGTTTCCGCTACCTCAGTTGAGGGTAGGTTGAGCATTTATGAAATCTGCCTGGCCTACATTTTGTCTCAGGTCAGAATTTCCTGTTTTATGAGTAGCAAAGTTTAAACTCTGGCCAAGACCATTAACATAGTGTTAGTGAAACATATACAATTTCATTATGTCATGTGTATAAATTTACTTTTTTTATTACTTTATGTTATATAAAGCAAAAAGCATACATTGCTGGATCACTCAAAGGAAAAAATCATCAAGTCCTGCCTTTTACTGGTCTTTTTACATTGCTCTTCGTATTATCTTCTTAAAAATGTAGGACAATAATATAGTTTACTGAGTCAAAATAAACTTTCTTAAAATGTTTTCTATATTAGTCACTTAAAACAAGAAAATAACTAATTCCTAAACTGCCATAAACCCAGAGGAAAGGTTTTACCTTATTCTGTCACTTTGAAGACAAGCCAGGTACAGCCAACATAATGCATACTATTCAAGGGCTATTAAGTAGTGCTTTTCCTTAAATCCAAATCATTCTCTATTCAAAAAGTACTTTTAGGTAACAAAACCTTGTTCAACACATCTTAACTGGCCCTCGAAAACAGCATTCAGAACTTACTTTTTATCTGCTCCGCTTGAAAGCTGAGGCAGGGCTTCTAAAGCCTGTTTAAAACTAGACCTGGAACACAGACAAGCAACATTTAAGTTGAGAATTTCATATTTCTAAGGGGAATTAAGAGCATCATTAAAAATTCTTAAGCATATTTTAAATATAAAGAAACCAGTATAAGCCAATGAAGCATGTAGAAATATGAGAAAAAGTAAAAGTGAAAAAACAATAGAAAAAGTAAAAGTAAAAGTGAGGGTATAGTGTATAGTTCCCAGGCAGAAGCCTTGTAGGAGTAGGGTCAGAAAAAACTCAACTAGGAAATGAAACAGAACTTGAAAAGCTAAAAGAGAGACTGATTTTGACAAAAGGATGCTACTCATGGTACATGAGAGCTTATATGTGGACATGTTCAATTTTTAAAAAGTCTTTTCAAAACAAAACTGAACTATTAAAGCAACTGGTAAGAAAGGAAGGAAATGAATTAGAAATAGGGATGATCTTGTGACAGATTATACAAATGGGGACATTTATAGTATTGACATGTACAGGGCCTGATTTACAGCCAATATCTTCCATTAATTAAATATAGTCTATAGGATTTAGTTATTATTATATCTAAAATTTGTAGGATAAGTGGAGATTGATTTTATTTTTTTTATTTTTATTTTTTTAAAAGATTTTATTTGTTTATTTGACAGAGAGAGAGAGATAGCGAGAGCAGGAACACAAGCAGGGGGAGTGGGAGAGGGAGAAGCAGGCCTCCTGCTGAGCAGGGAGCCCGATGCGGGGCCCGATCCCAGGACCCTGGGATCACGACCTGAGCCGAAGGCAGACGCTTAACGACTGAGCCACCCAGGCGCCCCTTGACTGATTGATTTTAATTCAACATCCTTTCTTTTCATGAAAACCTAAAAAGGTGAGAATTAAAAAAGCCCACCAATTTGGTATGCTTAACTTTTTAAAGTAGAAAGTACCAGAAAAGCTACTGAATCAAATAAAAAGCCTTTTAGGGGAAATTATTTGGTAATAACTTATAGTGGTCACTAAGGAATAATTTTTAACTTCTTCTTTTATAACTTGTTGTCTAAGGGTAAAGAAATAAATGTAATTATTCTTGCCTTTAAGATAGTCTTTGATTTTGTATTAGAAAAACGGATCCTCATCACTGTATAAGCAAACATATTTTGGGCAATGTTTCTCAAACTAGTGGCAAATATCACAGCAACAAACAGACTACAAAGTCCCAAGAGGAGTATAAAAACTGGTAGTGGAAAGCTTCAGTTGTTCCTCGTTAGGGCAAGGGATAGGTTATAGCTTGTGGGCACACTTAGCTCCCTTTCCAATATGAAACTGACTTTCCTCTTTCCTGATGTAGAGAGGAGTCTCCAGTTATCTCTACCATCATCTTAAACCTCTTCTCAATTAATCAAAAGAAATGTAATGCTATTATTCTTTATTTTTACATTATGACAATAATGATGATCATGAAGATGATACCACTGATTATTTGCAGACCAAGAGTCTAGAAGGTAAATTTGCATATTTTTAATTTAATTCCCCCAAAGCTTTGCCTAGAAAGTATTTATTATTTTTCTTTCATAGATGAGGAACTTAGGCTCTGAAAGGTTAAATTAATAGGAATAAATACCTAGGTACTTACACAAATCATGCACCCACATCAGATAGGGACTGAGTGGAGGGCCCTCCATCAACTATTATTTAATACTTTAGAAAAATGATGGCTGGGAAAAGGTGTGGCTAAATAACTAACATGGGAACCATCTAGAAATGGCTTCTGGTCAGCCATCATGAACAGGAATAAGAAGCTAACTTCATTCGTTAGGAAAAACTTTTAAAAGTCTTTTCAGTTGTAATAAACACAGTAAAATTGATGGCATAAGCCATGTCATCAAAAGCTTGGAAGTGAATAAGTATATCACACAAAGTGTCCTGAAACATTTTACTTGTACACTACTTGGATTCTCAGGCACATTACCAATACAACCCAGTATATTTCCTAGGTACTACTGACAATGGAGTAACAATTTTGTATAGGCAAGTAGTTAGTGATGTTTCAGTTCACCTACTGATATTTCAATGATAGGAAATCCTGACTTTCATTCAAAACAGCTAAAAATTATCATCAAATTTCCACTACAAAATTTTGTAGAGAAACCACAAGGCTTCCTCTTATGCTGATATTTACAATGCTTAAACTGTCCCTCAGAGTCTGCTATGAATAGATTAAAATTCAATTCTTATTTTCTCCTTTTTTCAAAAAGTATATAATGCTCTGATATATCATTATGAGATTAAGATTTATCTTACTGAATGAAAACATAAAATCATATTAAGTCTTTTTTCCTTTATATTATGCTACAAAGAACCAGTATTAGGAGGCTTTGGCTTTTTATGCTTTTTAGCTAAAAATTAATCAAATATAAACTTTATCACTTCACAATCATGAGCACTCAGTCTGATCAGTTATCTTTACAAAGGATTTTATATACTAATAAGCTTTATTTTATTTTATTTTTTTATTATGTTCAGTTAGCCAGCATATCATAAGTTTTTGATGTAGTGTTCAATGATTCATTAGTTGCATATAACTTTATTTTTAACGAAGCACTCAGAACAAAAACATTTAGCATCTCACTTGCTTTCAGGCGTCAGGTGAACAGCCACAGTATCCCTCAAAGCACAGATTTCAAGCCGTGCCTAAACATGAGAAAAGGACAAAGTGACCACAGGGAACTGCATCAATTATTATTGAAACAAGCGGACAGTCTCCAGCCTGCTTACTGCAGGGACAAGGTTGACAGAAGACCACTGGCATGTAGTTATCCCCCACCTACCATGGTGACTATTAATTATGAACAGACTTTCTAAAACACTCTAAAGAAATCAGCTATGACAAAATATTCTTTTATTGAAAATTAACTTAGAGTCAAGTATGACTGTGTGAAGGCAGGCAGTCAGATATCTTGTTATAAAAAGGTTCAACCTATGCAAGGATTTTCCAGAAAGCTGTATTTACTACCTAACCAGTAATTTTTCCTTTCGTCTGTTTGTGAGAAGAAGCAAAATTTGAAACACTGTCCCTAGATTATTGCCCCACACAACAGATTTAAGAAAAAATGGATTGGCTTACTTCCTTATACCTATGCCCTTTTGGGCATACTGACTTTAATCTCAAAAGTTAAAATAAAGCTCTGCAGATTTAATGCAATGTCTATTAAAATCACAGCTGGCTTTGTTTGGTGATTGTTTTTTATAAAAATTGACAAGTTGACCCAAACAGACAAAACCATCTTGAGAAAGAGTAACACAGATAGAGAAACACTTTCTGATATCACAACTTTCTATAAATCTATAATAATTAAGATAGTGTGGCACTGCTATATGGACAGAAATACAGATCAGTAGAATAGGAAGGACGAGAGACAGATTAGTACATATGAGGACAATGAATCCCCATAGCAATTGGCTTGGAAAGCAAGTGGGGCCAAATTTTGTAAGTTTTTGCAACCAGCAGGGTGGGAAGCCTAGAGTTTCAAAGGTCAGCGGACTTGGCTGAGATAGACTCTGCAGGGCATTATGCTGTTCTTGGAGAGAAGGCTGGCAAATAACCTGGATACAGCCTGGGAACAGTGATCTGATGAGCACCTGGGGCACACAGTGGGGAGGCTATCTGCTCACTTGGAGTACGTCCCAGAGAGAGGGTGTTCAAAAGACACCCCTCAAGGGAACAAAGGAACTGGCATGTGCCATTTCCCTCCCCTGCCCGTCACCATAAACACAGGGCTGCCTGTGGGAACAAGCATAGCACCACACTCACTACCTAACTTGCTTACACCAAGCCCTCTCCAAGCTCCTGTGGAACCACTCTTCCCAATCATGCTTGCCCTAGTCCCAGTGTGGTGGGTCTCCTCCCTAAGAGCACTGGCTCAAATCCCTGCCAACACCATGTCTCCCCACCTGGGAGTTTTGCACAACCTCAGTTCTGGCAGTGGTGGCAACAGGTCTCCGTTCATAAGCAGACAAGAGCATACCTAGTTAAAATGTGCCACATTCAGGCCAGGGACCACACCCTGCCCAAAAAGGAGCCACTGCAGACAAATGGCCTGAAGGATAAAGCAGCCAAGACAAAACAGCAGATCACATGCAGCATATCCAGGAGACACTCCTGGAAGTGCCAGGCCCTGGAACAGTAGACACTACAAAGCAGGGTACTACAGGTCCTCTTCTACATTAGGCCATTACCTTCAAGAAAAGGAGACATAGCTGACTTTCCTAAAAGAGAGAAACAGGCACAGAGACTTAGAAAAAATTACAACACTGAGAAATTTGTCACAAATGAAAGAATAGGACAAGGCCACGGCCAGAGGTCTAAGCAAAACAGACATAAGTAACATGCCTGATTATTTAAAGCAATGATCATAAGGGTACTCACTGGACTTGAGAAGAGAGTGGAGGGTATCAGTGAGACCCTTAACACAAAGATAAAAAAGAACTAATCAGATGTGGTTTTGGAGACACATCATGCTGCCGGGGTGGGGAAGGAGCTGCAGTTATGGAGAAGGGTGAAAGACTAGCACATATGAGGAAAACAAATCCTTCAATAGATGAGATTAGAAACATGTCTGATGGAATGAACAGTAGGCTGGAAGAAGAAGAGGAATGAATAATGACCTAGAAGACAGAGTAATGGAAAGTAATCAAGCTGAAAGAGAAAGGGAATTATGCAAAATGAGAATAGACTTAGGGAACTCAGTGACTCCATCAAACATAATAACATTTGTATTATAGGAGACCAAGAAAACAGAGAAAAGGGAGCAGAAAATTTATTTGAAGAAATAGTAGCTGAAAACTTCCTTAATCTGGGGGCGCCTGGGTGGCTCAGATGGTTAAGCATCTGCCTTCGGCTCAGGTCATGGTCCTGGGGTCATGGGATTGGGCCCCGCATTGGGCTCCCTGCTAGGCGGGGAGCCTGCTTCTCCCTCTGCCTCTGCCTCTCTCTTTCAAGAATAAATAAATAAAACATTAAAAAAAAAAAAAAACTTCCTTAATCTGGGGAAGGAAACAGATATCTGGATCCAGGAGGCACAGAGAACCCAAAACAAAATCAACAAAAGCACACCCATGCCAAGATATGTTGTAATTAAATTGGCAAAATATAGTGACAAAGAAAAAAAATTAAAAGCATCAAGACAAAAGAAGACAGTAACATACAAGGGAAACCCCATAAGGCTAGCAGGGGATTTTTCAGCAGAAATGTGGCAGGCCAGGGACACCTGCATGGCTCAGTCAGTTAAGTGTCTGCCTTCTGTCCAGGTCATGATCTTAGGGTCCTGGGATCGAGGCCCATGTTGGGCTCCCTGCTCTGCAGGGAATCTGCTTCTCCTTCTGCTCTCCACCTACACTCATGCTCTCTCTCTCTCAAATAAATAAATAAAATATTTTAAAAAAACAAAAAGAAAAGAAATGTAGCAGGCCAGAAGGCAGTGGCATGATATATTCAAAGTGCGAAATGGGAAAAATCTGCAGCCAACAATATTCTATCCAGCAGGGCTATCATTCAGAATAGAAGGAGAGATAAGCAGTTTCCCAGACAAAGAAAAACTGAAGGAGTTCATGACCACTAAACCAGCCATGCAAGAAATAGTTAAGGACACTCTGAGTGGAGACCAAAAGTGAGAGTATGAAGGTAGGAAACACAAAAGCAATAAAAATGAATAATTCTGTAAAAAATCAGTCAACGAACTCATTTAAAAAAAAAAAAGGATGTGACATATGACACCATATACCTAAAATGTGGGGAGGGGAGGAGTAAAGAATGGGTTCAAACTTAAATGACCATCAACTCAATATAAATTGCTATATGCACAAGATGTTATATAAAACCTAATGGTAACCACAAATCAAAAAGCACTAATAAATATGCAAAGAATAAAGAGAAAGAAATCCAATTATATCACTAAAGAAAACCAGCAAACCATGAAAGACAAGAAAGGGTCAGACAAAATCTTCAGAACCAACCACAAAACAATAAAATGTCAATAAATACATATCAATAATTACTTTGAGTATAAATGGACTAAATGCTCCAATCAAAAGACAGAGGGTGACAAAATGGATAAAAAAAGCAAGACCCACCTATATGCTGCCTAAAAGAGACTAATTTTAGACCTAAAGACACCTGCAAATCGAAAGTGAGGGGATGGAGAAACATCTATCATGCATATGGATGTCAAAAAAAAGCCAGTATAGCAATACTTATTTCAGACAAAAACAGACTTTAAGACAAAGACTGTAACAAGAAACAAAGAAGGACACTGTATCATAATAGAGGAGATAATCCAACAAGAAGATATAATAATTCTATATATCTATGCACCCAACATGGGAGCACCCAAATACATAAAACAGTTAATAACAAACATAAAGAACTAATTGATAATGATACAGTAATAGTAGGGGACTTTAACATCCCCCAATTACATCAATGGACAGACCATCTAAATAGAAAATCAACAAGGAAACAATGGCTTTGAATGACACACTGGACCAGATGGATTTAACAGCAGAGTAGACATTCTTTTCAAGTGCACACGGAACATTCTCCAGAATAGATCACATATTAGCCCACAAAACAAGCCTCAACAAATTCAAAAAGACTGAAGTCATAGCTTTTCTGACCACAATACAATGAAACTAGAAATCAACCACAAGAAAAAAATCTGGAAATAACACAAATATATGGGGTTAAATAATATGTGACTAAACAATGAATGGGTCAACCAGGAAATCAAAGAAGTAAAAAAGTACACAGAAACAAATGAAAATGAAAACACAATGAGACAAAATCTCTGGAATGCAGCAAAAGTGGTCCTAAGAGGGAAGTATACAGCAATACAGGCCTACCTCAAGAAGAAAAATCTCAAAACAAACAACCTACCTACTGTAAAGGAGCTAGAAAAGAACAACAAACAAAACCTAAAACCAGCAGAAGGAAGGAAATAATAAGGACCAGAGCAGAAATGAATGATATAGAAACTAAAAAAACAATAGAACAGATCAATGACACCAGGAGCTGGTTCTTTGAAAAACTCAGTAAAACAGATTTATCAACAAAAAAAGAGAAAGGACTCAAATAAATAAAATCACAAATGAGAAGAGAAATAACCAACAGCACAGAAATACAAACAATTATAAGAGAATATTATGAAAAACCTATATGCCAACAAATTGGACAACCTGGAAGAAATGGATAAATTCCTAGAAACATATAAGCTACCAAAACCGAAACAACTCCCACAAAGCAAAAGCCCAGTACCAGATGGCTTCACAGATGAATTCTACCAAACATTTAAAGAAGAGTGAATACCTATTCTTCTCAGACTATTCCAAAGAATAGAAAAGGAAAGAAAGCTTCCAAATTCATTTACGAGCCCAGAATTTCCTTTAAACCAAACCAGATAAAGACATGACTAAAGAGAACTATAGGCCAATATCTCTGATGAACATACATGCAAAAATCCACAACAAAATACTGGCAAACAGAATCCAACAATACATTAAAAAAGTCATTCATGATGATCAAGTGAAATTTATTCTTGGGTTGCCAGGGTGGTTCAATATTTGCAAATCAATTAACATGATACATAACATCAATAAGAGAAAGGAACTGTGACAAAGTGCAATTTCCATTCATGATA